GGCCGGGGCCGGGAGCGGGGCGGGGGCCGGGGGCTCCCCGCTCCCCGCTGCTCCCGCCGGAGCCGGGGAAACGTCCCCCTGCGCGCCCCGGCACCGTGCTCCGGGAGGAGCTCGCAGGCACGCTGCCCGCTCCCGGGAGGGTGTGGGGCTGGAGGAATCTCCTCCAGGAGTTCAGCCGCTGAGACTTCTTCCTTTTAGCGCCGTTATCTGTGTGTTTCCCGTTTACCGATAAAGTCCACAGCCAGACCTTCGGAGAGGTGCGTGACAATGCAGACACCCAGCAGCGTGGACGTCCAGCATGCTTATCAGAGCCTAACTGATCATTGCCCAGAAGGCTGAGCACGCTGACTGACCTGCGCATCTCTCGCTTGCACATCGTGACAGGCAAAAGTGTCAGCAAGCACCACCAAACGCCTTAGGAACCACCCTGAAAATGGAAGAGCTTTGAATATGGGATCTGCACATCATCGCTCAGTACCAACAGACAGAGTCTTAATTTGGTCCAGGAAGAATAATTGCTATTAGCTTACACCAGGCAGGAAACTCTGTTTGTTTTGATACTGCTGCTGAGAGCAAGACGTTCTATTCAAATATATTGCCACAAAGATTTCAGACTTCACTTTACTGTTTAATTGCTCAAGTACATTTCGAATCTTTATGGTGTGTCGATGAGTTAAGTGCCCGTATCGAAAAGAGTGTATTTGCAAGAGGTTTCGTCATCAAGCCATGCAGACGTCGTAATTGCCACCATCTCTTCATGGACCACTGGCCTCTTGGATTGTTCTTGCAAAGACACCTCGGTTCAACCCCTGCAGGCCAACAGCAGCTCACACCCCTCCAGGCTGGCGCCGGTGGTGTGAATGCTGCTGTTACAGCTGCAGCGGAAGGAGAACAGACCTCACCGGCTGCCTCCCGGCACGCGCGAGGAGCTGCGGTCCAGCGGCTTTCCACTGGGTGCCCTGAGAAACGCTCCTTTTGATTTAAACCGGGATTGTTTGGTTTATCTTAAATAAGTTTAGATGTTTTAGACAAAATTGAAAGTTATGTTCACACTGACGTTTGAACTAGTTTGGCTAGGTTTGGTTTCAGTTAGCCCAAAGTATCCTTCTAGTGTAGCGGAGATCACAGAGTTGAAAATAACACATTTCCTGCCCCTATGTAAGCGGTTTTCTCTGTTGTACGGTAATCTACAGCGTGTATTACGGCATGCAGAGATTTGTGATGGAAATGCTAGGACTGGTATGAATGCAGCGTGAATGGAAAAGTCCATAGGTGAAGCAGAGGCAGCAGAAGAAATGATAAGCAAAGGCTAAAGGAATCACATGCATCGAGAGCTGAGGACGTGACTGATGGGTGCCCTGCTTACGTCCTGGCAGAGTCACCGATGACTCTTCTGCAGAGGACCCCAGCGCTGGTGACAGGAGGGTGGCAGCCAGGGCGCACCACACCAGATGTGGCCTTTCACTTCTCTTTTTCCAACCAGAGGAAAAACTTTAGCCACAGGACACCCAAAAAAGAAAGAGAAGAACGTCAGCAGCTTGGGGAGCATCACGGTGTGGACATGCTGACATATGATGACTGCGGCCTCCCATCGATTATCTCTGCCTGAGGAGCTGTAAACATTTCTAGCATGGAAAATGTCTTCCTAACAGAGGCTGCCTGGTAAACGGAGTTAAGAGGAGTTATCTCCTCTTCCAGCTGTATGTGACATACATACAGTTTACTTCAATTATTTAAAACTGTAAATTCCAGTGTGCATGTCCAGGAGGAATGTGTGACTGGGGCTGTGCAGTCTGTCAAACTGGGGCTGCTTACAATCACTCAGAAAAGTCCCTGGTGTCAGGGAGAGGAGAATGTGCAAAAGAACCAGCCACAGAGACAGAGATGTCTCAGATGTGAACAGGAAGAAACCCAGAACACAGGCTGAAACTGAGTAACATCTGTATTTATGATGATAATAATGATTATATAGAAAACAGCACAGAAGAACAATTAAAGAAGGGGGGAGAAATGCCAGTTATCTTAGCCCGTAAGCACAGGAAAGCCCCACCCTTGCCACTTGCCTGGGAGCACGGAACTCCGAATTTCCTCCGATAAACGGCCTGTGTGTGCTGCTGTGCCGGCCGGGAGGCACTCGTGGGGCCTGCGCGGCAGCCCGGGGCCGCGGGCTGAGAAGGGAAACCAGCGCATGGCTTGTGTTACCTCTGCAGCCCTCACCCCACCTTCCCTTGCTACCTGTTACTGAGCAACTGAGTCCTACAAATCACTTAATCCAAAACAATTCTTTCTCTGGGGAAGTACATCCTTAATAATGGCAGGGTAAACCAACCTTTCTGCTTGGAGGCATTTCCATTCCTGGTATTTCACCTTTGGCTGTTTGTTTCTTTCCCTTACCCCAGATATTAGCTTTTACCCTGGCTACTGGCAACAGCCTCCGTTTTTAATTACTCTGTTCCCTGATCCTGAAAGCGAGCACTGGTGGCACAGGCCGCCCGTAATGAGCCCGTCGGTGCGAGGTGCTCGCCGGTCTGCTTACTTGACTTGCTGCTGGCTTGACTGACAGAGCTGCTGGGGCCTGAGGGCCCTGCCAGCTCCGGCACATCGTGCTTCTGGCGGTGCTAATGTCGCAACACCGGGAATTCATTTAAACTCCCAGAAATGAAAAGGTTCTAGTTTCTTAAAAGGAACCACCAAGCAGCATGATGTTTTTCTTGGGGTGTTAAGTAAAGAAAACACTACTTAATAAATTAAATCCTTGTTGGTAAAGTCTGGATTCCTTTCAATTCAAAGGCATGATGGTCTTGCAGCAAAGTAACTCGTTAACAAATGACCGTTAATGTCATTACATCTATTACGGCTCCAGCTATGTATTTATTAAATTATTCGGGGGGGATAGGTAGGGGGGCTTTGCAGCCTGTGAAAATGGGCGGAAGTGGTATTCAAGCTGAGAACAATGGCACAGAAGCCATGCTATAGCAAGAGGGGCTTTGGGATTCGAGGTGATTGTGTTTTCACTCTTTTCCTGACATAACCAGGACAAATACCAGGCGCAGTTACTGGGAGGGCTGCGAAGGGGGGTCCAGGCTCTTGCCAGCTTTGCTTGTCCTGGAGTATGAGCCCTGTGCCGTGGCACAGAAGAACTGCTGTGCCCAGGCCTCCAGTCTTGCTAGGGCTTTGCTCAGCCCCGAAGCATCCCACCAGCGATGTTTAGATAGATTTGCCTTCTGGGACCTGCAATGTAGGCTGCAGAGCACACTTGGTTTGTAACTTTGGAGTGTCGCCTACCTACGTGCTTCTGCTCCTTCTCATCCCTAAAATGTTAAGCATCTGGAAGACAGAGAAGAAAATGACATTTGGTATCAGGCTTACGCACAAACCTAGTATTGTTCGTGGGAATAAGACAGAGTACGAGTCAAAAGATGAATTAAAAGCCCAGACATCTCAAGACAGCTTACCATAATTTCCGGATCAGACATGAGCAAAGGTGAAGAATCAGGAATCCTCTTTAGAGATAGCTTTTGTACCATATTTGGTCTTCTAGTTAGTGCTGAAATAAAGGCAAGGAGATTTACAAATGCAGGGGTGTTAGGGGCTGTTCTTCATTCAGCTTAAGTTTGCTCAGTGAAGATTACTCCTTCCTGAATTATCCTTTAAAATGCAACTATTTTTCCCAAGAGAAGAGGTTTAGCTGGAGCTTGAGCGCACATACCATCTTCCCCAGTGAGACAGGCCTCCATGAAGTTCCTGCATCTCAGCAGGGCCAACATGGCTTCGGACTAGTGTGACACATCAGAAGCCTGGCACGTAGGCATGAGTCCTTGTCAAATGAGCAGGTTATTACAAAAGGAAATCGCACAATTTCACCACAGGATTTGTCTCAGGATCATTTCATTTGGAAACAAGCTGAAGTGGTTAACATGAAATTGTCACTTCCTCTCTTAGTTCATCTTTTGAAAAGCGAGAAGCAATGATTTAAAAGTCACACCAGAATTTTGCAAGACGGACCAGTAATGCTCTATGACTAGCGCTAATGATGTAGGATCCAACACCTTTTTTAGTACAAGTGCGTTGCTGCCGTTCAGGATTGAGAAGTGGATGCCCACGCTACTCCTCCCCCTCCGTGGCGAAGTGACGAGACTCCTGTAAAAGAAAGGAAGGAAACACAGTTCTGTAGTTGGAGAAACAGTGAAGGGGGTTACAGATCTGCTTCCAGCCTTCATGTATTTGCTGCCGTATATCCCTTTCCAAACGCAGTTGCCCTGGGCCTGTATCAGTCTCTGCACTTCACCCCCCCCCTCTGCCTGGCGTTTCCGTGCGAAGTGCCCGCCGGCACTGCCGGGGAGCCGGGGGCGCGGGGCGCTGCCTGCGCTGCGCGCGGGGGGGATGA